GTAGTGGGAGAAATACTTTATAACATAAAGCAGTTTTTCAATCAATCCTGGAGAAACTACAAACAATAAGTAATGGCATCCTGCTTTTCCTATCACTTACAGAAAGTTCAATATGATTTTTTTTTTTCCAGTTTTACATAGCGGATAACTTCTATTATATATTCAAAGATTGAATTTTGATTTAACTATGTGATTACAGCCAAACAGTAAATTATAAATGTGTATTAGAAGTTGATCTGCATCTGTGTCAAAGAATATTAGTTTATAGTTTATACATGCAAAACTATGAAATTCAGACAACTTGCTTTTATCACAATATGATACATTAAATAATATTTCATAAATACAACTGTAGTTAAGAAAAGTTGTTTAACGTTCTGAAATGTGTGTTCTCTTTTATCTAATAACAAAATCTCTAGCTATATCACATTTTAAACCTTGTTTTATAAAAAATTTTACTCTTGCTTTTTATTTAACCATGTAAGAAGTATGAATACTTTTATCTGGCCATGAAATTTTCTTCCACTTATTTCTTCTTTACATATATATCTTATTTTATATTACATATATTATTTTAAGTATTTTATTTTTGGTTAATCTTTGGATTATGGTAACTTGGCGATTTTTTGAATAAAATTTGACGACAAACTCTGCTACAGCAACACGCTATTCTTTTTTTATTGCCGCCATTTTGTCTTCACGAAGTAAAGACATGTTTCTTTTCTTTTTATTTACTCAACACTTTTTCCAACAATCTGCTAGCCGAATTACACTTATGCTAGATATTTTATGGAACAAAACTGCTTAATCATGACAAATATTAACTGCAAAATTGGAAAAAAGTGCAGAATCGCAAACTCCTTGCCGCATTTTTCAAAATCGCACATATACAGTAACCATATACACACGTCGACTTATTTTTACTTAAAAAAAAAATCCCAGAATAGCACAAAAATGGCATTGCGCACACTCTTCACTATATCCATGTACAATGCTTTTTTCTCGTAAATTAGAAAAATTTCACGAAAATGCATGAAAATTTTGTGAATCTTTAAATTCGGTACAAAGGACACATATAAAATTACCTGATCACGAATATATACCCTTTCCAAGGATGAACATTTGCACATATAAAATAAATAAAATATCCCAAAACGTTTACCTCTAAATTATCTATTATAAATGTCACCAACGAATTTATAACGCTTTAAAAATGATTGCAAATACTTTGTGTCAAATATTTAAATTATTTCCATCCAGGTTTACTTCCACTTAAACGCATACCAAATTGCTACAAACATATAATTCACAAAATAACTATCCATTTTTCCAGATTATAGATCATCAGTTTAAATCTGGTAAGATGGCATGCAGAAATTATAAAATTAAAAATATGAAACCGTAATTTATAAAATAATGAGCAATTATGATTTAAAGGGTATCCAAATTTACAAAAAAAGCTTAATATTTATTTGTTTACTTTATTAAACATGTCTTTCAACGTGCGCATGCATAAAGCATACATTATGCATAGCCGAAATTAGAAAATTGCAACCAGAAAACTATTTGATTTGTATTCGTGATATTTATAATGACGAGGAATTTGATTTAAATCATATCAAAGACGAAGTACATCGAGATGAAATACTACATTTAATAAGGAATTATAAGCCGAATAAAATAAAAACATCTGCCCTGAAGATAACGATAGTGTTGACAGATCAACTTCCATTTCATTGCGCGCCACCACGTTCCTCCTCCCCCCCCCCCCCCCCGCGAAGAGCAGCGTGAAATTGATAAACAGATTTCGGAATGGTTAGATAAACAAAGGATGTGCCTTTATCCATTTTTTGGAGCAATTCCACTTTTTGTTTGATGGACATCGAAACATACTTTCATTTTCGTAGATCCTTTGGGAGCTCCAGCATCGGAAATTCTATTTGACATAATCGAAAGTTCAAGCTTACTTTTATAAAATTGCTCTTACAGTCTGCAAAAAATAATAAGCCGGATCCAATTCGAAGATTAAGGAACAACGCAATCATCAACATTAACTGAAATAGACAATTAGATAATTTTAGCTTATACCGTCCGTTATACATAAAACGCGCAGCGAAAACGTATTCTGCGCTTGTGCACACGCAAATCAGTCGTAAAGATCTAACGTGCATGCTTAAACGCCTATGCGCAAGCGCAGAAAGTTTTTAGCTTTCAGGTCCGGATTATAGATCATTCCAGATTATGGGTCCGAATTAACGACTTTTGACTGTATACCCTTTCCAAGGATGAACATTTGCACATATAAAATAAATAAAATATCCAAAAACTTTTACCTCTAAATTATCTATTATAAACGTCACCAACGAATTTATAATGCATTAAAATTGGTTGCAATAACTTCGAGTCAAATATTTAAATTATTTCCATGCATGTTTACTTCCACTGAAACATATACCAAATTGCTACAAACATATAATTCACAAAATAACTATCATTTAATTAAAATATAATTAAATTAAAAACACTACTTAAAACATAAATAAGCACATACATTAAATTAATAAAAATTTAGCTTACAATCCTAATTACTTTAAAATAAATCATTGCTAATAACAATTTTTCAATAATACCATATTAATTTATTTACTCCTTACATTTTAGAACAATGCATAGAAATAATATCCTCAAATAATTAAAAATACTAACTTAATCTTCTTCAGAATCTTCATTACGTCGTGGATAAACTTTTCTTATTTCCTCCGAAGTACTTTTATTAAGCAGGTAGAATATACTGCTTAATAAAACTTAATAAGCAATCTTTACTTCTATGTCGCACAACCTTAAAAAAACACTTATTACTACCCCTTTCAATCCCACTAAATACAGTCAAAAGTTGGTAATCCGGACTCGTCGGGACTTCGGCAATTCCGGATTATCGATTTTTCCGGATTACAGATCATCAGTTTAAATCTGGTAAGATGGCATGCAGAAATTATAAAATTAAAAATATGAAACTGTAATTTATGAAATAAAGAACAATTATGATCTAAAGGGTGTCAAAATTTACAAAAAAAAAAAAAAAAAAAAAAAAAAAAAAAGCTTAATATTTATTTGTTTACTTTATTAAACATTTCTTTCAATGTAAACTGTTTCGTTTTTTATGTGATAATACATTCTCTTTAATACTTTAAACAGACATAATTTCTTGTTCAGTTACAAAGTTCTGCTGTTCAAGTCCTATAATTGCTGTGTCGAGAATACCGACTAATTTGTTCAATCGAAATTTTTGCGTTTTCAATAACCTCTGTCACTTTCTTCGCTATCGGAAGAGAATTATAATGACGAGGACTTTGATTTAAATCATATCAAAGATGGAGTACATCGAGATGAAATACTACACTTAATAAGGAATTATAAGCCAAATAAAATAAAAACATCTGCCCTGAAGATAAGGATAGTGCTGACAGATCAACTTCCAATTCATTGCGCGGCGCCACGGCGTTAAAGATAAACAAATTTTAGATAAACAAAGGATATGCCTTTATCCAATTTTTGTAGCAATTCCACTTTTTGTTTAGTGAACTTCGAAGCATACTTTCACTTTGTAGATCATTTACATATTAATAAATATATATCAGAAATTCTATTTGACATAATCGAAAGTTCAAGCTTACTTTTATAAAATTGCTCTAACAGTCTGCAAAAAATAATAAGCCGGATCCAATTCGAAGATTAAGGAACAACGCAATCTGCAACATTAACTGAAATAGATAATTAAATAATTATAGCTTAGCTTATACCGTCCGTTATACATTAAACGCGCACTCGTAAACATATTTTGCGCATGTGCACAAGCATATTCTCAGCCGTAAAGGCCTTACACACATGCATCAACGCGTCGCATGCGCAGAAAGTTTGAAGCTTTGAGGTCCACATTATAGATCATTCCGGATTATGGGTGTCCGAATTAACGACTTTTGACTGTACCCATTTCAAATTCACTTTAGATAGGGCCATGGGATCCAAAAATTAACCAACACTGTTTCACACAACACAGAATGAAGCTAAATACAAAATTTCCAAATTTTTTCCAGATTTCTCCCCTTTTCCGATTAAAGAACTGTAATTCGTCCATTAATGTCACATGACATATCTCATGATCTCTCATTTCCCTCACACAAAATAATGCATAATCGGAACTGAGTACTTCTCACATTATTCCCAAAGTCCTAGGTAGTAACCTTTATCGCCTACCAAAATGTCGCCAAACTACCTGTTACCATATTCCAAAGATTAGCCTTATTTTTTTATACTTTTTAATGATTTAAATATCATTCTAATAAACGTAAGGTTAAGAAAAGAAACACTAAAATAACAATTCAAACAAATCTAGACAGTAAATGTGGTTTAAATACAGTTCTTCATCAATATACCCAGAAAGGTGCACTGATCTGAAGGTTAATAACTGAAAAATCTTTATTTTGATGTGTAAACTATAAAAGTTAATAATAAAACTATTATGAAATAGAATTAATGAAGGCTCAAAGGCACTAATTTATTCCTGATATACATTGAAGGTATGCTGATAGCTTTACAATTTGTATTAATGTCCTACAAATGCAAAATCATTAGTGTTTTAATTAATAAAAAAATTTGTTAGAGCATTAGGTTTGGTATTCAACCTAATGATGAATAATAAAAATCACTAATTTGTCTACAATGCAATTTCTTTTTTTATAGACAATGACATGAAATATTTAAGTGTTAAATCTAATATTTTACACCTTAATTATTCTTAATTTACCAATAAAAATATTTCTATATTCAATTTAATACAGAATTAGATGTAGCAGTGTATCACACAAATAAAGAAATTAAGTGCTATACAGAATACAGAATTATAAAAATAAATTATTTAAATTAAAATAAATCATTTTAATGCTGAAATAAAATTATAAACAAAGTTTTAAAAATGATGAATAAAATAATAATATGCAAACCATTTAAGAGGTTGACTGTCATAATCCAACCACATTTCAGCTCCAACACTTTCATCTTTCACATGATTGCTAAAATGTTTTTGTACTTTGTCAGTCACCAGTGGGAAATATGTTAAGCGAGGCACCATAAGCTATAAAAAGTGGTATTGAAAACAAAAGGAATGATTACATTTGAGAGGAAGTTGTATAAATAAAAAAAACTGATAAATTTAAAAGATACTAGTCCGTTTTGAGGACCGTAAAAAATTGCAGCGAAAATGTATCCGCAAAAGCGCCAAATCTAGCAAATGGGCCCATTTAACAGTGAGCCAAATCTAGCATACGTGCTGATTTCAAATTGCGTAAGTTTAGATAGTTCTATATATCTTAAGACGCCATTGAAATACTAGTTTAATTATTAAATCCTTTTTTGATATCCTACGGATTTAACAATTTGAGAATTGCCCATGACGAAAAGTCTGCAATAGAATTTTTTCGAAGAAAAGGCATCATTCATTATAGAAATTATGTTTGAACAACCAACAAGATAAAATTATGCTTTAGCGATAACTCGGTAGAGAAATAGCGATGCAAGAACCCATTCAGTTATAGTTAGCCTTTTTTTATATAAATTATAATAATGATCTGAAATAGTTATTTATTCTTATGCTTCCATTCAGTTATGTTTCGCTTTTTTTTTATATAAATTATAATAATAAAAAAGTATTATATGAAATTAAACTTTCATCTAAATTAAAACAAATAATTTTAAATAGTTATTTACTATTATTCCTCCTTTCTTGTGTTAAGGTTGCCGCAATTATTTTTGGCAGCACTGGCATCAACAATAGTTTGGCGATTTTTTATGGTCCTCAAAACGGAATAGTACCATTTAAAATGTGCAGTCAAATTTAGGGGGTGGGGAAAAAAACTAGTTTTGAACAGTCTGATATTCTAGGTTTCATTATCAGATATAATAAAATATTATACTTCCAGCATGTTATAAAATATATCTTTTAAAGCAAAAAATGTAAAAGCAATGTTATGCTCTATACCTTAAAGAAGTTCATACAAATGTATTTTAGTGATAGTGGGACTCTCAAAATCAGTATTAAAGGAAATTATTTTAAAATAGAGCCAGAGCTGAAAGTGAAATAGCAAAATGCACAATTAGACTGCAGAGTTGGGAGTTTTATTTTGCCAAATTTTATGAATAGATAATAATTTTATTCTGATAATCTTATTTTGTTATTTTTCTGTTATCTCGAATCAGTGGGATTATGAGATAAGTTTCTGATTGCTATTTCATATTCTTATAACAGCTGTAATCTAATGGTAACTGGCAACAGTAAGAAAAATTTTAAAAGAAAATTATTTATATATTAAAATAAAAATAAAAAAAAAAAAAAAAAAAAAAAACTATTAACTCAACCATTAGTTTGAGATTTAGCTGATATTTGCATGGATTTAACTTTTCCTCTTGTTAAATGTTTACAATGTTGTTGTTTACTTTGTTAAATGGACAAAGTTTGTTTTCAAATTAAAATTTTGTCAGTTACTTACAATTTTCTACTAGCCCTTAAAACAATGCTACATTCTAAAGAAAATGGCAGTCCAATGGTGTGCCTCAAAAATTTTAAATTATTGTCAAAAATTCGAGCTCAGTTTTTTTTTCTTCTAGCTTTTCATGCATTGAATGAAGAAAATCACCACCTTGGCGATATAAAAAAATTTGATATTTTCTATCCCGGTAATAAATAGCCACTCTGGCATGTGAAGGATTATTATTCCAGTGTCCTTGGTTTTATTGTACAGCAACTACACAGTAAGTAAGAGATTTATATTGTGTAATGTTTAACTGATTTATGATAGTTTAATACAGGGTGAAAGTCTATTTAATTGTGTTAAGTATTTAAGTATTAATGAAAACAATACTAAGTTAGAGACTTCGGTACTTTTCCGTTTTGCCAGCGCAAATCTCGCCAAGCAGACTTTATTGGCGACAACCTACAGTATACACATAAAAAATATTAAAAAAATGTTAGGTCTAAGAATTCTTTTTTTGAATGTATAAACATTTTAATATAGCTTACAATTTTATAAAAAGCCAATAAATAAAGGCAATAAATTTGCAAAAGGACATTAATTTAAGAGTTTACTATGGTTCAACATCCTGATTCGCCAGTTCATATCACGTGACCCCAAGCGATCTCATCTCACGTAAACTACTCTACAAAAATCTAATGCTCTCAGTAATTATCTACATTAATTTCAAGTTAAATCTTAATTTGGAACACAAGTTTAAATGCAAGAAATATTTTAGTTCGTACGAATAGCTTACTCAGAAATTATGTAAAACTGCAGTGCTTTACTTCGCTAATGCATTCTCATTAGAATCGATGAATTTAACCCTTGACCCTTGACTTTACCTTTTCTATATTTTCGGCTTCGGGCAAGCGCTGTCATTGCATCCTAATGACTTAAATTCGAAAAATGGCCTTAGACATAAACTGAACTATCTGATAAAAATTCTATGTAATTACATGCCAGTAATGAAAGAAACAATCAATCTGATAAGAAAAAGCTGCGACTTGTTTGAAAATGAGCCGTAAAAGGTTACCAGCGAGAATATTCCGTTTGGCATTGGTTGTACCATTATCGGCAACTTTATCGCTTGCGCCGGCAAAATGGAAAAGTACCGAGACTTCAATTATTTTTAAGAAAAACACTTTACATAAATTTATTTCAAAATGGCGTATTTAGGCAAAGGCTGCAATGAGAACCTTAAAATCAATGAGGCTTTAAGCCTTGGATTACAAGTTACAGATAACGTGTACAATGCGAGATCTAATAACGAGTTCTAAAAACCTATGATTTAAAATTTAAAAACAAATGATGAAAAATTTACAAATAATATTTAAATAACATTATCGATGACCGTGTAGCAGCCTAAAAAGAAGTGGAAAGACTCAAAGTGATTGAACAAAAAGCAGAAGTTAAGGCTGAGTGAGTGAGTGAGTGACAGATTATGGCGCAAAACCAAAGATGATTATAGTGCGCCAAACACGTGATGGGGTGAGTACAATTGATGAAATTAAAATACAATAAATAAAAACAAGTAGACAAATGTATCAAATCCAGAGGATGAAGTCATATAAGAACAAGTTAAAACCACACATTTAAAATTTCAAGATACAATCTTTAAAACAAATTACATTAGGTGATAAAAGCCAGTTTCTTTCTGTCAAAAATAAAAATAAATTACAATTGACCTCTCTTCCGATTAAACGGTGAGCGAGAGATAAGTCACAGCTATTAAAATATTTCTGGCGAAGACTATTAAAACATGGACACTCATTAAAATATGACGAACAGATAAACAAACATTACAATTAAACACACACAGGCTCATTTTCAGCTTTGAGAAGATAGTTATGTGTCACTCTAGTGTGACCAATTCTGAGGCGAGTCAAAAGAACTTCCTTCCTCCTTATGATTTTTGGTTGATTCCCAATGCTCATTTCTATTCTAGGTTTTACATGTCTTAACTTGTTTTGAAGCTGAACATCCCAAATTTGCTGCCATCTTTTCCGGACTTTTCCCTTGATGACACAGCAGATATCTCTAAAAGGGATAAGGCGACTAGTCAGTAAGTTCATCAGCAGATTTGGCTGCAATATCTGCAAGCTCATTTCCCTTTATTCCATCTATTTCCCGTTTTCAGCATGTCCAGGAACCCAGCAGTACAGGACTTCATATCCGCGAATCGTTAAATTTATATGAATTTCAGGACATCACTACCACAGGATTCTGAGTGTTGGGAAAGCTTCTAAAGATTTAAGAGCACTATACGAGTCTGTATAAACTATGAACTTCTTGTGGCAGAGCTTCGAGATGTACAAAAGAGCATAATATATTGCAGTTAGTTCAGATGTTAGGACTGAGCAAGCATGGTGTAGGCATCTGCCCTCAATGTAATCTTCAAATACAAAAGCCATCCTGACATGATCATTTGACTTTGATCCGTCTGTGTATATCGGATAATAACTGCTATACCTGTGCCTGTGCTCAGCGAAGAGTTCTCTGTAAACGATCTCGTTAGTGCTCGCCTTCACGTGATGTGTGAAAACATCAAGGAGCTGAATCCGTGAAGTTTCCCAAGGTGGAATTTCAAAATCCTGTACTGCTTGGGGGTGCATATCAGAGAGGGAAAGTTTCTCAATGACAGGGTGAACTCTTAAAGGAAAAGTAGGAACAGAGGATGGACGTGTTTCAAATAGTGAGTTACACTCATTATCAAGTAAGCACAGCTTATTGGGATGTTCAGGTTGGGATAAAATATTAAAATATTGTAAAAGGGACAATTGCTCACGCCTCAGATAAAGTGATGGTTCGTTAGAGTCAACATATAGGCTCTGTACAGGAGAAGTCCTGAAAGCTCCTGAACAAATCCGCAAACCTTGATGGTGAACAGGATCCAGTTTTAACAAAACAGATGAGCGAGCGGATCCATAAACAACTGAGCCATAGTCCAGTCTAGAGCGGATAAGCGCTCTGTAAATGCGAAGCATGGAGCAACGCTCTGCACCCCAGGAGGTGTTCGCCAACACTTTTAAAATATTTAGTGTTTTTAAACACTTCTTTCTCAGGTTTAAAACATGAGAAAGGAAAGTCAATTTCTGGTCGAACGTCACTCCTAAAAATTTTACTTCGGGCGCAACTGGAATAATGTACCATTTAGATATAACTCAGGTTCAGGATGGAGACCTCGCTTCCTACAAAAGTGCACGCACACAGTTTTCTGTTTCGAAAAAGTAAATCCCTGTTTGTTTGACCATTCTTGGATCTTATTCAGAGCCATCTGCAATGCTCTCAATTGCCTCTCTATGTATCTCATGTCTGCTCTCCTCGACAGCTATCTTAATCTCTACAATATATTACATATAGTGATCCCAAGATGGTAGGAGGAAGTTCTTTTAATACAGAATTTATTTTTAAACTGAACAGCGCAACACTAAGCACACAGCCTAGGCCTTGAGGCACCACCCTCTTCCGTGTTGAAAACATCCAAAAAAACAGAGCCAATCCTTACTTGAAAAGTTCTACTCTTCAAGAAATTCTGAATGAAAATTGGTAGGTTGCCGCGCAAGCC